GCCCTGTGGCCCTCCCCGGGGGCGGCGCCCACCCGGAGCCGAACGCCCCTAAGCCCGAGGACCGGCGGAGACGCTAGGAGCCGGGGCGCTGGTGGCTCCGGGCAGAGGCCGCGGCCAGAAGATGCCTGTCCGCAGGGGCCACGTCGCGCCCCAAAACACTTACCTGGACACCATTATCCGCAAGTTCGAAGGCCAGAGTGAGTGTGTGCGTTGGGGTGGGGTGGGGGGAAGATCCAGAGTCCTGGTTCGGTGGCAGGAGTAGCCAGATCCCTTTGCTAACTTCTAATGAAGCAGGGTGTGGGGTACAGGATGCTGAATGCAAAATCCTTTAATGCCCCCAACACCTTCTCTAGCGGGCCGCACTTACCTCAGATGCCTGCCTTCTTCTCTACTGGAGAGCAAGTGGCAGAGCACAACCCCACCCTCCACTCCTGTGTTATTTTCTCAAGCCCTGACATCGCCTTCTATAACTGCCCCATTCCCCGCTCTAAATGCCCACCTCCCCGCCCCCCCCACACACACTTCCTCCAAAGGTTTCCTCGACTTTTTCCTTTTCACCTCCTGACTCTGAACACCCCGGTCTTTCTAGGAACTCTCCCTATGCCTGACTCCCATCTGGTCACATCCCTGCTCCCCGCTCCTGACCCCCCTCACAGTCTCCAAGAAGCCTTAGGCCTCCCTTTCGCTTGGCTGACTGCATTACTGCCCTGGCCTCCCCACGATACCCAGGACTGACTTCCCCTCCACCATTTCTCTGGTCACTGTCCTGATTCCTCCCTCCTGACTACCCCTCATTACTCTCAGGAGTCTCATGACCTTCCCCTATGACTCCGGCCTCCTTCGTTTTTTCCACCCTCCCTAGATCTGACCTCCCCCTGCCTCATTCTGGTCACTGCTCTGCTCTAGATCCCCCCTCACTGCTACCAAGAGTCCTTATAATTGTTCCCTCCCTGCCACCCAATTCTGTTTGCCATGGGCTTCCCCCGACCCCCTTCCACCCCAGGTCGAAAGTTCCTGATCGCCAATGCTCAGATGGAGAACTGCGCCATCATTTACTGCAACGATGGTTTCTGTGAACTCTTTGGCTACTCCCGAGTGGAGGTGATGCAGCAACCGTGCACCTGTGACTTCCTCACAGGCCCCAACACCCCACGCAGTGCCATATCCCGCCTGGCGCAGGCCCTGCTGGGGGCCAAGGAGTGCAAGGTGGACATCCTCTACTACCGCAAGGATGGTGAGGTGCCCTCGGGCCACGGGTTGTGTAGGGCAGGCTTGGCCTCTCTCTTGTCCTGCCAGAATGGTCATGGGGAGGGTACTGATCCCGGGACCAAGGGTCTCTGGATAAATCCTATCTCCTCTCTAGGCCTCAGTTTCCTCATCTGTGTGGGGGAAGTCATGGGCATTGGATATGATGCTTTCTGAGGTCCTTTTCAGAGGCTGGACACCAGGCCAAGCTACTGACTTGTCCTAGTCCCGGGCAAGGCCTCCCATTCCACTATCCCTCCCCCAGTCTCCTGGCTGTCTACTCTGTCACTGTCAGCCCCAGCTGTCAGGCAGCTGGAACGGAAATTAACCTTTCCTCGTCTCTGTCTGCTCTGGGGATTAGGGGAGGAGTCACCCCCTCAAGGCCTCTCTGGCCAGGCAAGGCATGGGGGCTGCTGGATGGAAAAGAGGGGTGGGTCTGGCTCACCCCACTCTGGCTTCTTGGAGAGAGAGGGTCTGGAGTTTGGCTTGACCTGGAGGCTCAACCAATTTGGGATGTCACTGCCAGCCCAAGTTTACTGCAAGCTGAACAGAAGCATAGGGCAGAGGTTGATGATAAATAAAGACTTCTGCAGCCCTTTGAGACCCTTCACCCAGGACCTCTCTGAGTCTCCACTGGATGAGGGGTGGGAGGAGATGGGTGGGAACTAGGATCCTGAAAGTCCCTTTGAAATTACCTGGATCA